CCTACAGATATATTTCTTGATGCCAAGCACAATTTGTACGGTGTCGATTCGAAGAATTATCGTATTTTAAAATATCCAGCCGATTTCAGTAGCGGCATTATTTGTAGCTGGTAATGGTGTAATTCTGAATGGAGCGAAGAGCATTCCGAATTTTATCAAGCCGGTCCCGATATTCGTTGACAAAACTGAAAATATGTACATAGTTGATCATTAAACGAGCCACTCCTATCGCATTGTATTTTGCCCGTATTATTCCACAGAAGGCATCACCATTATAGACGTGACAAATAGCATTTGTAATGACATTTATTTAGATTATCATCTAAGTATATTCACGTTGGAATACGACAACAGGAGAGTGTCAAAATGATGGGCGCCTTTTTATGAAAATTATACTGTGTAGCCGGCCATGGAACAGAAGATAATGCATCTAATCAATTATATAGAGCCCACAACATTTTTGTTAATAAAAGTTTACACGATTTGTATATACTGACTAAGAAGTATGAGTGTAAGTGTAGGCATGAGTGCGGATTTGAATGTAAATGAGTATGAAGATAGAGTCTTCAATCACCTCCATACCTACTCATACTAACATTCACATTTCAAAACATAAATATATAAGTAAACAGTTCAATTAAATGATTATTGCATCACTCAGCCGGATAAGACCTTTGAATAAAGTGTTTAGAGGCGTTAAGGTTCTGTTTTAACACTGTTTAAATGAAATATTATCGTTAAAACGGTGTTATTACACAATTTTGAAACTATTTAAAACACATTATACCATCATTATTGATTTGAATAGTTGAAATGCGTTCATAGGAGTAAATGTATTTTAATGCAGCAATATGTCACAGAGAACTTGAATTATTTTTTCTTTAGATACTAATTTACGGCGTTCAATAGCAGCTCACTTACTTAACAGAATCAAGCTTTTTTTTATATTAATGTATACTCTCATGAACATTAAAATTTAGATAGTCGATTCCAAAGCAATATGCACAATATGTACATAACATGTGATTAGATATTGATATTTGAGCTCATTTCTGAGCAGATGAGGGCCTATTTAAATACGTTAAAATATAAGAGAATATTGTTCAAATATTTCTATTTATTTATTTATCTTCCTCATACATGGTCGATTCAATTTAGTAGTTTTCATTTATTTTTCTTTATCTATATTCATATTATAGTTTTATCAAATTCATATTCGATTATAATCAGCTTATAGAATAGGTCCATTATTAGTTTACATTATTAAGTTTATCAACACTTCTTGTATTATGGAGGATTTCAAGTCAATAATATAAGCTCAAATAATCTTGTTTTATTATATAGAAAGAAAAATTTATGAATAGAATGATCTCATGTTTTATTCACAATATTTATAAAAATGAGCATTAAAGAGAATGTGATGTTTTCTTCGTTACTAACACACACCCACACTTTTTTTGCCATATCTGTCCGATTATGTTATCGGAATTTATTGTCATAGCATAAATTCAAGAAAAACAAAACATTTAACTTCTCATTTTGAGTGACATCTATTTTGCGATTGATTGAGAATATGAATCAAAGCTACGACAGCAGATTGCTTTTTTGCATTCACCATTCAATGTTTGACAGAATTAAACAATGACTCATTTTTTCAGTTCTGTTATAACGCCATATCACTGTATGCTACCTATATATGCAGTACCATTTTTTACATGTTACATGACTACTGTAAGCACTTTTGTTCTGTCAAATCTGCTGCTGCTTGATCACTTGTTGGGTGACACTTATTGTTGAAAATAAATACAGTATTATTTTTGTCATTGAGATGCATCAACAACGAGAGGTAATTACTCTTTATACCTAGTTGCGGTACTTTCATATCGTGTTATTTTGCTCATAACTAGTGTATTGCTTTAGTATTTAAGTGTGCACTGATTAGTGCAACAACAATCATAGGTTGGAAAAGTCTTATGCTGTTGACTAACTGTGCAAGTCCTATTATCATTTTGTTAAGGTTAGTCTTCTCGAAATTTTTTATTCAAATCGAAAGCATGCGTGTTTTTGACTAGTGCTGGTATGGGAACAGCTATTTATAGCCGTGGAAACCTTTTTCTGCTGACTAACTATAGTACAGAACCTATTCGTGCAGGTGACATTGTTGTATTTCGAATTGAAGGTCGCGATATTCCAATTGTTCATCGAGTGATTACAGTACATGAAAAGTGAATTGATTTTTTTTTAATGACCACTATTAATACTGTGTTTTATTCACTCTGACGTTTAGAAACGATGGTTATGTCAAATTTTTGACTAAAGGCGATACCAATGAAGTAGATGATCGCGGTCTTTATTCGCCAGGACAACTTTGGCTTGAAAGAAAGGATATTATTGGTAAAGTGAAAGGGTTCGTTAAGTCTTTATCTTTGACTAACTTTTCCTTCTCTCATTTTAATTTATTTAGATATATGCCATATATTGGTGACATATTCATTTTAATGCATGATTCTCCTCTATTGAATTATTTCATCTGGATAATGATAAGTCTCTCCGTATGGATAGATTTTCGGTATGAAAAAGCAAATAGTGCAAGGAAAAAACGAAGGTTTCTCACTTACTGGACTTGTTTGACGACTATTAGATTGTTAATTTATTAAGCGTACTATTGAATACTATTGCATCTCATCTGTAAGTGATTATTAAACAATTGCTGTGTTGTGTGAGTTACATAACGAGTTACTTCTTTTTCTTTTTTATTGTGATCAAAATCTCATTGCTAAGCGATCTTAACATGTATTGACTGTATAAATATTTTCTGAGAAAGAAGGGCTTTACTTTCTAACGAGCAAAACAATAAATATCATCAACATAAAACATGGAAAACTGTTGTGTTTTTTTTAGAGTTGTTGCTTCATTTTGATATTAAAAAAATGTCTTATTCCATAAGAAGCTCAATCAAAAATCACTTCTAGTACTACCTAATATATATTTGCAGTCTATGAAAACATTTTCGATGCACTCTCAATTCATATCAACTTAAAAGTTTATTTTCATGAATTTCTCACAAGAATACAAGTCTTCAGTGATTGACCTACAATAAGAATCGCGACAATATCAACATGTTCGAATTTCTCTTGTGTCTTTCATGTTTCTAGTTTTATCATGCTATGCATTTCTCTTATTGCTCATTCGACGATTTTCCATGTCAAACAAACATCTTTATCAGAATAATTTCAATATGATCGGTCAGACGTCGCATTTGCAAGTGATATCGACTAATGAAGAGAAAAACGATAAAAAGTTTTCTGTAAACGTGTAACGACTATGATTAAATATAAGAATACCTTCCAATCATTGTCAATTGAAGACCTACGTGTTCATCTTAATTAGTCAAAGATTGTCTATGAAATAATTGTCAGTTCTTGAATGAAATACATATTTACAACAGCAATAAGCAACCGAGAGAGAGAGCAAACAATGAACAGATAATCATGATGAAATAAGAAAACTTTTACATAACCAGTTATTCGAATGAAAATTTATAAAAACAAAGAAGAGAGATAGTAAAAATGAAAAATATTCTTTAAAATATTTTAATTATTTTTTTGGATAAGTAACAAGGTATGATTATTGGTCTTTTTTCTTACAATTCGATTTACATAGAGTGCTCTATTTTATTATAGATATTTAAAAAAAAAGCATACAATATTTCAAAGTAAACTCATTTCAGTAATTAACTGTTAAATGTTTGTTGAAATGACAATTATATAATAGGAAATGTTTTTTTCCTTATTCATCTGTCTTTTTTTTTTTTGAAAAAAATCATTAAATGCAACGACAGTTGGTGAATGTTATTACTATAAAAGAATCAAACATTTTAAAGTCATCTCTTGCAAATACAAATAAAAATATTGTTCATTATAGTTGAGTTATACAATGAATTATTGAGAATAGTATAGAGTACAAGTTTTTTTATTTAATACGTCGTATTCGTATTTAAATTAATTAGAAAAAGATCACGTGAAGTTTTATATGCCATTTGTAATCATTTTATTTCAAATACGTAACCGAGAAATAAAGTTTCTTTCTTCATGTTTACAAGAAATCGTAACACGAGTCATTGTTATTGTCACTGTAGAATGCAGAAAAGACAAAATGTTTTCATATAAACTGCAGATTTGATTCTTTCGTCGAAAACCGCTATTAAGGAGATTAGGCTATTCGTGTGACCAAAGAATTAAATATATCATTCTCTAATCAAAACTATAAATCAACATGTTGAAATGGAAATCTTAAGTTTATGCGATAATTTTTTCTAAGGATTCTTTAATCTAAACTTATTTGTTTCAATCTGTTTGCTACACGCATACTAACCAATAAGAGAAACATACATCTTTATACACGTGTAGAAGATAAGAAAAGATGGATATCACTCATTTTGCTCTATTAAAATTAAGAAATTGCTGTCTATCTCGTATTTTTTTTTGTCTTTGACGAGTTGTTGCTATTTACATTACAGACTTAAAGTCTTTAGCTTTTTGTTGCTCTTATGAGTGTCTTGTGTACTGAGAATTCGACTCTTCGGGTTCAAGTTCGTTCTTGATGGTATTCATTTTTAGATGATTAATAAAAAGAAGTCAACGTAAGTCAAGAGAAATAATTTCACCTTTGACTATAGTAGAACTACAGACAGTGGAAATAAATGATTGAAAAACTACACAGAATCAGAGGTCGAGTTGGGTACATATCTAGATGACCTCATATATATATATATATCTAATCATTACTTGACTAGAAATTGAATATAATTTGTAAAATATCAGACCTTCAATGTCAACAAAAAAAAACGACATAATTATAATATTAGACAATTAGTTTATATATTCATCATTATTTTTCACTTTGATTACAGCTAAAAATTTCAATTGAATGTAGATGATACATATATATCTATACAATGATTTTATTATTTTTCTATTACAATACAAAAATAATTATTTTTAAACATGGATTGGATGTCTAGCAATCATTATTATTCCACATATTCCAGGTTCAATACGTCTTACTTGTTGTCGAGATTTTAAGATGTTACTAATTTTGTTTCGAAGGTCAGGTAATGATAAGATACAAACAAAAGGTAATAGAAGAGGCATGTAGTAGCTAAAAAATAAAATATACTCAAAAACTTCCGTTCCCTCACTATACGGTAAACCACATAAGTATATAAAGTTCATCATTGCTACTGGAAAAAAGAATATAGTAAAAAGTAAAGATATAGATAATGATTGAATTGTCATTTTTCGACGTTTTCGCCATCGAATTAGTTGATTTACACGATTTTTTTGTCTTGAAACACGTATTATCAAAGCTAAACTTGATATAACTATTGTTATAGAAGGTATTATTTCATGAACTAACATTTCCCACATAAAAATAGCATATGTATCATAAAAACAAAGATAATAACATTGCATGCTAGAATCATCAAAATAATTTTGACAAGGTGGAAAAAAATTGGCAACACTATAATAGATAATGCAATATAGAAGAAGTAATATGAGAGGAAGATAATGAATAAAAAAACGTTTCTTTTTAGTCATCACCCATCGACTATGAAAAATAAGTATATGTCGTTCAATAGTAGCCCAACAAAAGAGCATCATTTGTGTAACATAAAGACCCGAATCAATAAAACTCCAAATAGCACAAAAGAGAGGAGATCTATGCCATATACCATCATGTTGATAATAATAAAGTATCCATGGATAAAGTGTTACTTCAGATATAAGACCAATAATAAGATCAACAAGAATAACATGATTATTGAGAGCATTACGTGATGGACGATGAAATAGAAGATACGAGAGAACAATCAATGAACAAATAATAGATGGTATAAGAAAAATTAAATAAAGCCAAAATCCAACTGCTCTAGGTATGACATCATTGACAACACTTGACGAACTATTAGTCTCATTAAATGTGTTGTTGTCGTTAATCATTTAAGAAATGAATGGATTAGAATAAATCTAAACTTGAAATAAAGGATAATATAGATAAGATATTTTCAAATATCGTTTCGATAATATCCCTAACAATAATGTCTATTTTCCACTTGTATATTAGAAGATGCTGTCCGTCTATTGAATAGTGCAAATAGATAATATAAAGATTTTTTAATGTATGAAACTAGCTTATATGATTATTGACAAATAAGTGAACACGTTAAATTTGATTATCAAACGAAGAAATAGTACTTGAAAAAAACTACAGATGAACTGTCGGAAAGAAAAACAAGCATAGAAACAATTTCTATCTTGCAAAACGGCCTTCTGACTTTTCATCTTGTTTATAAATTATTTCTTTCAAGCAGTCAGCACTAAACATCTGTTCTTCAATTTCTATTAAACTAGTTTATTTCAATTTTTTTCCAAATTTAAAAAGAAAACAAATGGCAGACGATAGAACAAAAATTGAAGAGGGAAACATACAGAAAAAAAGTATTACGTGTAGATATGAACAAAGAAGCTTATAAAAAAAAATAATCGTTTTTTTTATATATTATGAAGATTAGTAAAGACAGTAAATTAAAAATAAGGCATGAAAAAATTAGATGATTTGGTTCTAAGATAGTTCATACGACTTCATGTACCAAGTTCTCACTTCTTTGTGACAATAGATTATTCAAGAATATAAAGTACTAGAAATGCAAAATTAAAGAAGAAGCTTTTTTTCACTATTCTCTATGTATGGTTCGATAGAGTATGCTGAACTGATCATGCGTACGTGTATTTTCAATTTTCTAGAGTATTTTTCTTCGTGGAAAATGTTCAGTTTTTTAAATGAGCGGTTTCTTCCAAAAAAATCAACCAAATCAATTTTCTCGATAACCGCCGTATCTTGAATCTTTTCATTTCCTTTAATTTTCAAAACTGTTTGTTCTCGATTGACCGTGAAATATTGCTTCTAAGACAACTCATTTATAAATATATTTTCCTAGAGATGCATATATTTCACGGTAGATCGGGAACGATACAGCTTTAAAATATAAAGAAAATAAAAAAAATTGAAACCTTGTCGATTATCGGAACTTCATTTGGTTTTTTAGGAAAAAAGTTATCTGAAAAACTGGAATTTTCCCCTAGAAAAAAAAAGAAAAGAAAAACTTACTTCTGTTTTTATTTTTTATTTTCAGCACTTGATATTTTCACATAAGAAAATTTTTATGTAGTGACTAGAAAGTTTATATAGATTGTTCAGTGAAATTGATAAAATAATATGAATAAAAAGTCAATATTTCATTTTGAAATATTTGAGTGATGATTAAAATCTATTCTAATGAAAACTATTTTTTATCAATAACAGAAGTGAGAGGAATTATTTGTTTGTAAATTTGTTTTATTTGCTACTGTTGTGTAGACTATTACTCAGTCAAACTTTGGCAAGTATATATACTTCTTTGTGTACTACTTGTTAATGAGAATGTCTCTTTGATGTATTCTGTTTTCTTCAAACATATTTTAGCGTAGTTTTGTTCATTACTTAACATATAACGAGTAATCTCGTCACTATGTGAGAGCAAAAAATACTTGACTGTTTTATTGATGTAACTTCGACTCTGTTGGAGTTAGAGTATGAGTATAGGTTTAAGAGTTTGATGCAGAGCTTTAATGTGCTGATTTCTATTGAATTTAGCCTACCTGTTTGACATAGTTTCTTTCTGTTAACCTGCTGAGTGGCGAATACAACTGTTTTCTCATGTCAATGCTTTTATAACAGCTAAATGAATATTAGTGATAATCTTCTTAAAATATAAATAATAGCAGAAACTAATGCGTGGTTGTGAGATTAAATATTTCTGTTTTCTTGGAAATGTAATATAAATAATTAGAAAAAGACAGACAAACAAATTTGCATAGTACATCATATTTTTAAAAATTGTGTATTTTAAACTAGACCTAATAAACAACAACGATTAGTTTTTCAACTCATATGAAATACTTAATTATGATACAATAGTAATTTTTATTGTTTTTGAGTAACATCGAAATTCTCAACTGTGGAACAGTTTCGATGTATGCATCATCTTCTTTTTTTGTATTGTTAAATGTGATTGTCAAAGTTCTTTAAAACGATTAAGAGTAAAGATAACGATATTATGAACATTAAAGAAAAAGCATTATTTTCATTTCTATACCTATGCCTTTTTCATTACTGTATATGCACGAAGACTCCGAACATTTAACAAAAGAAAAGCTCTGATTAACACATTCTTTGTTCTTATCATGAAAAGAGCAATTATTTGGAAAGTCAAGGATTAATTTCACATTTGACTAAGATCAGCTACTCATTCAAAAAAACATTGTGCCTGTGAAACTTATTTTGTTGATAATGAAAAATCCTAATAGAAATATAAGGCAAGTCTTATAAGGCGTGATATTAATACAAGTCTGTATTCTTTATGCTTGTCTATTGAAATGAAAACAAAGACACCATGAGTACACTATTGCAGTCTTTTCAATTTGATTCTAAAGTGTGGAATGATATCAAAGGTCTGCCTTTGAGATGAAAAGCTAAATACATATGAAAATGGAGCAGTCATATGAGCAATAGTCATTATGAATAACTTCGAGATAATCAAGCTTCTTGTTGAACACAGACTTCAGTTAATTTTACAATAAACGCAATTGTCAAAAATGTTATCTCTTGAATAAATTAGAATATAACTTAAATCATTATAGTAAAAACGTCCTTTGTATACAAATATTCTTGAGTACGCTGAGGAGCTATCTGATATATAGAGTCTTTACTGCTGCAATCTATTTCTTTTTTATCGATGAATGACGCTAATTAATCAATTTAGTTCCATAACAAGATTCGTTCAAATATGACTGATGGCGCATAGAGAATGAATCAGTTTTGTTTTGTTCGTTTGAGAATCATATAAAAAATCAATGGTATAGATAATCTAAAATGAACTGAAATCATTTACATAGGAAGGATGAAACGTAACAAGTTCGCAATAAGTAGAATATTTTTCGCAGTATGTTGAGTTTAATGATAAGTATAAGTAAACGTTCCATTTATTGAGGTATCAAAGTCCGTTTAAGAACTATTGGCTATCTATTAATGCCGTTGAAAATATGCGCATGAATGTTGTGGTCTATAAAACTTATGGTAATTTTTTTCATAACAACGAACAATGAGAATATTTATATACTATGATACAATACGACTTATTGCTTAGCCAAGGTACATAGTACGAAAATACCGTGTTCTGCATATCTCTACTTCTTGCACCTATTTTTCTCATTTAGACACAGACACTCATAGAGATGAACCTTCTATACAATTAAATTCAATGCGATAAAGCCATTGATTTTTCTCTGACGTTGCGAAAAATCTTACTTGTGATCAAAAAGAAGACAGTGCCTACTATCTCGCTCAAGTTGCATGTAACAACCTAGTAATGCGTATTCAGTGTTTACCTAATGCATCTGTCTTTTCATGTATATCTAAAAGTTTCTTGTTAAGGAAGCGTTTACATTCACAATAGACGTGGCATGGTACGACTGTTTATCTATTTGTTTTTATTTCGAACTAATCTTACAAAGAGTCTATGAAGTTTTTTTGGAAAAGCAATCCCAATTATAGCATGATCTTTTTGTATGATATGTTAATTCAGAAGAATGAAGAAATGTAATTAGTGATAGTAATATATAGAAATACGATTAATAAGTCGAATCCGATATTGTTGGGTTCCGATGCTGAAGAAGTATATGATACACTGAAGTGTAGATCCCTAATCATTCGGTCAGAGATCGTATCATTTATTATTGTTTCATTGGTGTCAACTAAGAGATGGGTAGTATCAATCGAAAAGAATGGCGGTAAAGCAACGACTGGTAATCTGCGTAGATCATCAAATTTTTCGAATTTTAAACAAACTTCCAGGAAACAATTCCCACTAATGGTTCCCATAGCATAGGCACTATATCCATCTGGACATGCTTGAATGCGCGATTTGGTAGCTATATTTCCGTATTGACATGAAAAGATACCACCGTATCGAGGCAAAGTGTTTGTGTCCGATGTAATTCTTTCACCCAAACATACTTTGATACCATCGATGTCATATGCTTCTGACAAACCTGGTGAACATCTGTAATCATTGGTGACTGGATTGACTTTTTTCATAGTGAACGAACCACCAAATACATATGTCGATCGGATGTCGATGGTGCTATGCAATCCTAACTGTTGACTGACATTTCGATCACACCCATAAAGATTGAGCTCGCGCCATCCTTGTCCTATATAAGTATTGTCACAGCACTTTTTCAACCAAAGAAAACCACATGCTCGACAATTTTGTGTGTATAACGATTCATATTCGATGGATGTATGTAAGAGATATTTATTGAAATCATATTTGCACTGATCGTTACCTGTATAGTAATTGTTCATTTGCAGGTTGGAACATTTTCTAAATAACATATAAATTCAAGTTTTTCCTCATCAGTAGAAACAATTCATTGCTTTTTCTATCATCGAAATGTAAATATATTCTATAAAAACTAGATAGTCAATGGACAGAGGATTGACTTACTGTGACATACGGGAATCTTCCGAACAAGTACGAATAAATCCTCCAAATTGTGTCGTTTGTTGAACTGAAACACAGGAACCGTCATCGAGATTGGCAATCCAATTGAACGATGGCGAATTTCGCTTCATACATCCTCGAATTGTATTCATTTCTACGTAAGTGTTAATTGCTTCATTAATTTCTTTTCGAACTTTGCTCAATGCCACGTCAGTCAATTCGGGAAGTTTGTCTGCTTGAATAAAGCATGTGAGATTTTCAATAGCTCGTCTAATGATAGCTGGATTTTTCTTCACTGATGTTTGCCATGCTTCCATATGATTACCTAAGATGAAGATGTCGCCACCTTTGGAACTTAATACCTTTCGATTGATCTTTGTTGTATATTCATTAATGGTGGTTAGATTATATCTTGAATCTGAACCGTAATTTGCTGAAAGACCAAAGGACCCCAAAAACGATGCTTCCGCTGCTGCTTTGTACATTCTTTTTTCTGATGTGTTGGAAGAGTAATTCGAATGAGATATAAAATCTTCTTCGATGATCGATCCACCCAAATGTAGACGACTTGTATAATGTGTACCATAGTTTTTCACGAAAAGCTGAGCAAGATAGGTTGCCAGAAGATTTTCTTTATTCGCTTGATATTCAGCAATTTCAATCAGATCTTTTTTAACTTGTGGATGTAGAGGACAGGTAGACAAAAGAATGACGTCGACCATGAGATAGTCAATTTGGTTTCGTAATGTAATCGTCTTCTCTTGTCCTTGTTCTTTTTTTGTTTTTTGATACTCTTTCGAATAGGAGCCACCGATTTTAAAGCCTTCGAAACCTATATTACCTCCTATCATGAAATTCGACGAGTAATCACTAGTACGTGAATCGAATGTGTCGATTTCTGTTGATCCCATTTCAATTTTATTCTCGTTTAGAGGTATTATTTCAATACAGGACTGAACTACATCAGAGCCTTTTATATTCGACACTTCATAGATAGGTGCCAAATCGATGAATCGCAAATGATCCCAACCAAATCCAGGATAAATATCGACGTTCGATAGTTTCTCACCATCGCATCCGAACCATAGTAACAATAAAACTATGTAAGACATCTGTATCATTGTCAAATGATTGACTTTAACGTACGGCCAAGATCAAGCTTTTTTTACCTAAAAAATGAAACTCATAAACATCAAATCTATTTCACAAACTATTTGACAGAGAATTGATCAAACCGAGTTTGATTTCGATAAATATTATACTTTCAAAACAGTGCCTAATAGTTCTGATACGCGTTTCTTACGTTGCGTCTCACTTTTCGAATTACAAAGCAACATATATGAAACTAATACAACTTAAATAGAGTAAATCGATATTAGTTTCTCAACAAATACATATATATATATAAATCAATAATTTGAGATCAACAGCTCATGTTCCTATATGTATATATAAAGTAACTATTGCAATCTGATAACATTAGTCTGCGGCTTTATCGATCGGTGTCCGATTTCAATGCACACATTGGAAAAGTTATGAAGGCAAGAGAGAAGAAAAGTAGGAGCTTATATTTCTTCTAGAAAATATTGATCTGCTGGTACTGATGAGTGGTAGTACAGAGACAAAATTTCATCTTTGCAAAAATAAAAAAAAATGAAGATAATAGAAAGTCATAGAATTGAAAGCAATCTCACACTCACAGACGTTCGTATCAGTATATACATGAATTCTGTCTTACTTATCCTAAACTAAACATGCTGATTCTTGTTCATTCATAGACTTCATTTCTTCAATTAATCAATCAATTTGAGGGTGTTCGTACATTTAGGGAATGCAGTTTACTATAATAATGACAAATATATGATGTTTTTGATTTTTTATTTCAGCTATTTCTCTCTTGTTTCGCATGCATGTCGAAGATAAAAGCGCTTCTATCGAGGCTCGAGAACAAAACTACAATTTTGAATTATTTTTTAATTGCTCATATTAGGAAACATAAAACTGCCACACAGTTAAAGTCTCAATCCATTACACTATTAATATACTATTTTGGTTTTAGACAAGAAAACCAAATTTAATAGATTCTGTATGTATTTACTCTATTTTTTATGTTTATTTTGCAAAAACTGGTTCTAATCTGATTTTTAGCACTTTTTTTTGACACATGTGCTTTCAAAAAAATCAACAATTTATCGGTTGGAAGTCAATGATATCTTGCAATTGTCAAACACAATTTTCGAGCCGTATTTTGTCGTCGCATCCTGTCATTGAATCTCAGCTCTGCAACGCAATCGAAAACGGCTAACATATCTGTACATTGTTTTCGAATCGATAAATTAATAAGAACTGCGCCGAAACCGATGCAGAATTTCGCTTCTGAAATTCGCTGTAAATCAACTTGATTCTGCTGCCTAGGTATTGTTTTTCAAGTTTCTCTACCGGAGATAGCTCGTATGTCTTGACATGAGAAAGAAAGACAGTTTCAAAATGCCTAGCATACCCAGTAACTTTCGTTCACTGCACTTCTTGTTTAAGTACTTCGATTGATCGAGTAGTCATATGTGTGTATCGGAGAAAGATCTCTTAATTTTTAATTCTATGAATAACTGTTCTGCAAACAATTTATATCTCTTAAGGAAACATAATTGTGAAGTGCCTTAATTAAAAAGCCGATGTGTTGTTTCATATGAACATTTTCAATTCATTTGTTACTTTCTTCGAATGACGTCAAACTTGAAAGTGGATGAAAGAAATCATTATAATAATTTTTAGAAGCAATAAATTATTTAATTTTATTATGATTATTATTGCTCAATTACAACATAAAAATGATCATGAACCAGTAACTTCTATTACAGACACATTTGATTCTTTTAAAGTAGCCTTTGTGACTTATGGATATGGGTGTGAACATGGGTAATGACATCGGCGTCGTACAGGCAAGCATGAAGAGTATACATGCCACACATATACTCTCACACCAGACCCATTCACATCCACACCTAAACCTGACTTTTCTAATCTACTTGTATTTTCTTACCGCCGTCCCATTGTTTTAATAAAAAGTACTCATTTCTCTTATCAATTTAAGCTTTTTTGCAACCTTGGAGATAAGACGATTGAAAATAACATTCTCTCATTTTGATAAGACTGCTCGGAACTCTTGCAAACATTTTTTTGCCATCTTACTGGTATGTAAAAAGACTTTTAGTTTTTCTTTTAATTTTTTTCTAGTGCATAGAAACTTTTCTTTTGCTTTTACTATTCGTTGAAATGAATTTTTTATGTACTGTGTTTTTCGCAGAGGACTATGTCTTTTTAAGTATTATCTACTCCATTTAGAGATTCGGCATATTTCGTTTGATTTTCTTTCGCCTAGAATTTGCCTTCTTACCCATGGAACAAAAATACAATCGAAATCGTGGTGGACTGGGTGTGGATGAGTGGGGTGAATGTGCGTATGCGTCTGGGTGTGTGGGTCTAAGTGTATATATGGGTGTGGATATGGTTGTACTGTTCATGTGTGAGTAAAGACAAGATCCACACTGACAGCCTTCATCCACACCCACGCTCACCTGATATTCAGAATCAGTGCCCAAAACTGCGTCGGATTGTGTAGAGCACAACACATTTTTCAACAACAATATTGTTTCGAAAATCTGAAGAAGAATCTCCCTCAGATGTTTCACACCGAAATTCTTTTTTCAAAAAATGCTTTGTTTTCGTACAGTCTATTTTCAGAGTGATATACAGGGATAGAGTGTAAGGGTGTGAGTTTTTTGTTATCTATATTTTGCTCGTCAACAGCTCACCTCCATCCACGCCCACACCATATCCGTACTCACATCATGTGCACATCTACACCCACCCACACCCACACTCTTGTAAGAGAGAAAATTCAAAATCTAAGTATAATGCGCCCGTGTATACAAATATCAGTGAATATGTTCTCATCGTTACAACACAAAACGCAAAGGAAAGTAAAAAGGAGGAAGAAAATGAAGGAGCGAAATACATGTGATGACGAGCGCATTGATGAAAAAAACCTGTCTACCAGATGAAAATGTCATGCTCCATTGATTTACTTAAACATAGGTAAGTGGGAAAAAACCAAGTAATTTCGTCAATGAAAAATATGGAGCGAAATCGATTGCGAGCACACAAAATAAAACCCGTACACTGCAGCTTCACTTATTACGTGAGTATATATGATTTCTTATGTTACTAGACTAGCGATAAAATTAAATTTTAATGTCAAGAATAGCTGAAAGCAACAAAAAATGATGAGATATGAAAATGAGCTTTTTTTATTATCAGAAATTCATTTCAAGAAAATTTTGATTGAGGATACTCAGCAAATAAGATCGATAGTCATGATTGAAGTAACTCTTACACATAAAAGTGTTCTATACAAAGCGTGTGAATCATAGTAACTTTTGCAATGGTTACATTTCACTGACAATTGTGGTGATGAAAAACAGGAATCTTAGTCTTACGAATCTAACAAAGCAGCAAATGCAAGCGCTTCTAATAGACTTGTTTTTTAACGACGTAAAAACATCTTAAGAAGCTACTTAATCTTATCGGGACCGAGTACATATATACACGGTTTCAACATTTGACTAAGTGAAGAAATTCTTAGGAACACTGAAATTGGAGTTTTTAGTATCGGTTTATTTCAATATACATCTTACACATATAGACGATATGCTTCAGTTTAGATAGAGTAAACATATATTTGGTTTAGTGTAGTTTGTCGTCATTTATCGCATATTTGTTTTATAAAGTCAATACCGGAAAAAAGCTTAAATTGCTAGATTATCCTTTGTACTTTATTCATGAAATCTTAGAAACTTATAGAGCTCCAAAATCTATAATAGTTTGAATGTGGGTGTGGGTGTGGGCGATGGCAGAGATCTTCGTAGATTCTCTCTTCACCCACATCTACATATATTCTCACCTACACTCACACCCGCAACCATTATACTCTACACTTCTGATGATGAAATTATTATGCTCTTTTATTTATGGCGCATTATATTTTTTTGCCAATAGTTATTCGGCAAGCAGTTTTGAATAAATATCAATATTCCTTTGATTGTGCCTTTCTAACTTAATTATTGTTAAATGTCATCTACTTCTCAAGTGCCTGCCTTCCTGAAGGCCAATGAAGCGTATGCTGCTCAATTTAGCAAGAGCGATTTGGCCTTGCCACCTGCTCGTAAGGTAGCCATTGTCACGTGCATGGATGCACGCATCGATCCAGCCAAGATTCTCGGATTGGAAATCGGAGATGTAAGTGTGTAAGATATGTAAACGCCACAATTGTCTGGCTTTCTTTGTTCACCTAGGCTCATGTGATTCGAAACGCAGGAGGTTAGTTCAATTCATCCAAACTTCTCCTTTAAACTTCTCTTTAAACGTAGGCCGAGCCGCTGACGCTCTTCGCTCTCTCATCATCAGTCAACAACTTCTAGGAACACGCGAAATTCTCGTCATTCATCACACGGACTGTGGTACGATTTTTCTAGGATTCTACCTGATCTTATAAACTAGAATCTGTTCTTTATCTGCAAGGAATGGTCACATTCAAGGATGCTAATCTGCAAGAAAAAGTTAAAAAAGAACTTCATTCAACTGCTGATCACATAGCTTTTCTTTCCATTGTTAAACTCGAAGATTCTGTACGCGAAGATGTGGATTTTCTCAAAAGTAGTCCATTATTGCTGAAAGATATACCTATTACTGGCTGGATCTACGATGTCAAGACAGGAAAATTGAATCAAATTGTTTAACATATACTTTTTGGATTTTTCGCATTTATCTCTTCAACTGATTATAATTTATTAATAAGACAATATTCTTATTCGAAATAAATAAGCAAAAAGCATGTTTTTGGTATGGCTGTGGG